AAAAAAAAAAAAAAAAAAAAGTTCCAAAGAAAGCACAGTATGCTGAAAACCAGAGAAACCCAAAGGAGAAGTTGGGAGCATCATGAAGGACAGTATCAGGAAGCAAGAAGAACATGTTCAAAGGGGAAGGGGACGGGTGCGGGGGAAGGAAGGGAAAGGGGATTTTAAGAAAGAATGGAAGGAGGAAATGGAAACGAAGCTTCTGTAAATGAGGAGGGGAAGAAGAATTGCAGGGAGGGAAGGGGAATTGGAAAGAAGAATCAGGATACATCATGCACAGGCACAAATTCCCTGAGGAAGGTAATCATCATGTATGGCAAGGATGTACTAATAAAAAGTAATGTAAAATTTTAAAAATAAAAATCAACAGAATTTCTGTACACATGGGAGAAACAACTAGATAGACTTTTTATAGGATTAAATGAAAGTATACACAGGTGTGGGGCAAGCATGTAATCCCAGCTACTCGGGAGGCTGAGGCAGGAGGATTCCTGTGAGTTTGAGACCATCCTGGACTACACAGTGAGACCCTGTCCCAATTTAAAACGACAACAACAAATCTTTAATTTTTTTTTTATGATGCTGGAGATTGAACCCTTGGCTTTTGCACTGAACTACATCCCCAAGACTTTTAATTTTTTTATTTTGAGACAGGGTCACACTAAGTTGCTCAATTGCCTAGGCTAGGCTGGGACTTTGGCTCCTCCTGCTGCAGCCTCCTGAGTGCTGGGATCACAGGGCCACACCACCACACACAGCTCTTCACTCCTTCCTTGGTTCTCAGCTTCCACCATTGCAAGTGGCGTCCTGTGGGAGCTGCCCCATGCCCGCTGCCTGGCCCTGCCCCAGAAGACCTGTGGTCTCAGATCTCAGCCACAAGCATCAGGACCTTCAGCGCTTCCGTGTGACTCTAATGTGCAGCTGGGCCTGAGACCACAGCAGCAGTGTTAATAAAACTCATGCAGCTCTGTGACTTCCTGGTCACTTGGGGTCTGAAGAAGCCACTTTAGCCTCCCTAGTCTCCCTGGAGGGGACACAACGTCCTACCCAGGCAAGATCCACCTCTCAGCTCATGTCAGGCCAGAGCCCCTGCCCTCCCTGGCTTAGTCCTGCTTGCTCGACCTGGGATCCCGAAGTGTGAGCTCAGGATGGAGTGGGTTCTCTGCAGTTCCCTGGCGAAACCTGGCACGGAGACCTCCTGCTCTGAATGGTCTCAGACCCAAGCAGCGTTTCTGACACAGGCACGGCGAGAGGGCTTGAGGGAGAAAGGCACCGCTCGCCTGGCTTCCTGGTGAGCAGGTGCAGGCGCTGGAGGGCAGTGGCGTGGCGGGTCCAGCCGACTCCCACTCCTCCAGGGCTGTCCCCCGCCTCACTGCTTAGCACAGTTCACCTGCAGCCCCGCCTGGAGGTCAGTGTCCCTGCTCTGCCTCTGGCTCCTTCCCTAGCTCCAGGCAGGAAGGGCACCTCCAGTGCACCCTCCTGAGGGGCCCTCATCCATTCTGCTGGCCCTTGCTCAGCCCTGTGACCCCCGCCAGGGCCACAGAAAACACGTCCTCCCTTCACTGTGAGAGGCTCCGGGAGCACCGGCAGCTGCCTCGGGGGCCGATGTCCTGGCACAATGGCCTCGCTCACCTTGCTCTAACCCTGGCCCCATCGCATCCCATCTTCATTGAAAGTTCTGATGATTGGTTCATCATCATTTTTAAATTAATTATGATTTCGGAAAATATCCCCTAGATGTATGCGGCGTTTGTTCCCTTCTGAATGTTGTGCCCTAGGCGAGGGCTTTGCTTTTCTCACTCTGGTCCCGGCCCTGGGATAGGCCGCTGCTCTGCTTGGTCATCAGCCTGTCACCTTTGCCCTCTCCAGCCAGCGCCCACGCTGTGACCCCATGCTCAGTGGACACGACTCGAGTCACCAAAGGATCCCTCTGGAGCCCTCCATGCTTGTTTGAAGGGAGGGAATCCCCTTTCCCAGCCAAGGAGAATCCATGGGAGGCTCAGAGCCTGATTCTCCAAAGAAACCCCTCCAATGCGCTGCCCTTTCTCTTTCTTGACAAATCTGTTTTGGTGCTGTCTCACTTTGGTTTGAAACTTGGATCTTTTTTCTCACATCCTGATATACATGTTTTCTGATTGCTGTGAGATATACATGTATATAATATAATATATAATATATAATATTATAATGTATGTATTTCAACCCACTGAAGGTAAGTAACACTGTAGGAAAGTGGCAATCAGGCTCCCAACAAGCACAGTGCCTGGCACTTAGTAGGTCCTCAATATGATATATATTTGTCCGAAAGTCACTCAAAGCCTTTTTATTGCTGTAAGTACTGTATGCATGCAGTGCCATTTGGCTCAGTGTTTAGTGGGTAGTAGGCACTCGATAAGTATTTTCAGGATGAATACGTGAGTGATAAACACAGGAGAATTTCTACTGAGAAAAACAAGTGAAAAGGAAGACATAGGAGATGCCAGGGTCATTTTTCCTTCTGGCTTCATTGGTTCCAAAGGCTAATTCCTTTAGGATGAGCTGTCAGTTAAATATAGGCGACTGCACTTAGTGCGCTATGGCTTTTCCCACCTTTGGAGCAGGAGTCCTTTAAAGCACCAAGTCCTTTGTTGAATGCACACAGTGCAGTACAGAGACTTCCTCCGGAACAGCAGCTTGACTGAGAACCCCAAAGTGTTCAGGGATTTGTGTCTTTCTTTGGGAAAAAACACTGGAGTGTAGACAGTTTGTGATGGTAGCCATTAGGAAGGAAGAATCTAATTTGTCCTCCTTTATGTCCTTCCCTAGGAGCCAGCGAAGCACCAGTTATATGATATACCAACCAGCCCCCACAAGGCAGCCTTCCAGCTCCCACCCAAACAAGCAAGTGTGAGTATGCGCGGGTGCCAAGATTTGATGTTGTGAAAACTAAATGTCCACTGGGAAATGTTATCAGCTTGATATGTTAGTCAGCTTTTCATTGCTGTGACAAAATACCTGAGACAAACAACTTATAAGGAGGAAAAGTTTATTTGGCTCATGGTTTCAGACATTTCAGTCCATGGTAGGTTGCTCCATTCCTTTTGGGCCTGTGGTGGGGCAGGATATCATGGCGGGAGTGCATAGTGGAGCAAGGGTATTCGCCTCATGGTGGCCAATTTGCAGAGAGAAAGAGGAAGGGACTGGGGTCCCAATATCCCCTTCCAGGGCACCTCTGATGATATCACTTCATTTAAGTAGAACCTCTTAATGACTCTACCACCTCCTAACAGCATCACAAGCTAGAGACCAAGGTCTCAACACATGAAGCTTTCAGAGACATTTCAGGTCCGAACCATAGCACTCAATCAAAACTCAGAATGCAAATTGCACTCCACAGAGTCTCGGCCTTGAGGCAAAATTCCTAACCGCACTGGTGTTTATGCACGGGATTGGGCATGTGGTGTGATAAGTCTTTGAACTTCTCTGTGCTTCGGTTTCTTATCTCAGAGGCTTGGGGAGTATGAGGTGGGATATTCCCTGCAAAGCACCCAGAACAGGGCCTGACACCGAGCAAGAGCTCAGCAAGTGCCAGGTGATTGCTTCCTGCTGGGGGCACCTCAGAGATGCACTGTGTTAACGTATCCTTTGACTTGGATGTAGACTTCACTTGCAATCTGTACAATCCACATTCATCATTAGATTCTACCACATGTGCCACGGACACACTTAGGCCTAAGGTTACTGGGGGAAGCCTGACAAAAGAGGCAGCACTTCAGTGTCATGAGGGATGTATAGGAGTTCGTTAGATGGAAAAGAAGGGATTGGAAGGGCAGTTAGGAGAAAGGGACCATTTTAATGAAAAAAAAAAAAAAAAAAAGTGGAATTCTGAGCCTGGGGTGGGTGGTTCTAAACAGCCTGGGTAGACACTGCAAGCATGGCAAGAGTGGGATGGTGGAAGTGAAGAGAAAAGAGGCTCAAAAGCATGCAGAGACAGACTGGGAGGAGCCTTGGCTGATGAAGGCACTGGGGAGCCACGGAAGGAACTTGAGCAGGGGAGACCAGGCTTTAATGAATCATTCAAATGCTCTTTTTCCCTTGTTGTACCGGGGCTTGAATCCAGGCCTTCACCCTGAGCTACATGCCCAGCCCCTCTCTCCAGCTTTTATTTTATTTTATTTTTTAAATTTTGAGACAGTGGCCCAACCTGGGTCTGAGCTCGCAGTCCTCCTGTCTCAAGATCCTGGAGGGCAAGATTACAAGTGGGTCCCACCGGGCTCAGTTCAAGCCTTCTTTTTATCGCTGCTACTCTGGGGCAACTTTGTGTGGTTCTTCCACAGGGCCAGAGCGTTCCCCCGACACCAGCGCTGGACTTCAGAAGAGGTGGTTACAAGACATTGCCAACCCCTCAGAAATCAGGATGGATTTATGACACACCAGTGCCTCTGGCAAAGGCCACTGTCAGAAATGCATCTCCAACCGGCTTCACAGAAGAGTCAAAGCCAAATGCTGTCCCCAGTTCGGCAGCCACTGCCCTCAGTCCCCAGGGCAGCAGAGACTGGGTCCTCCATCCGCAGCTGTGTGACAATGTGCCCAGGCAGAAAAAGCTCAGCCTTCCTGAAATCCCTTCCTCTTCCTTCCCAGCACCCAATAACACAGTCCCTTCAGATGCAGGCATCAGCTACAAGGTGCCTTCAAGCTTTCTGATTCCCCGAGTGGAGCAGCAGAACACCAAGCCTAATATTTACGACATCCCTAAAGCAAGCTCAAGTGCATCTCAGGCTGAGAAAGAGTTTCAAAAAGCCAAGGAGGCTCCAGAGAATTCCACGGGCCTCAATTCCTGCCCATTCTCAAGATACACAACCACTCTGTCTCCTGAGCTGGACAGATTGTCTCTTTCCAGCTCCGACAGCAGAGCCAGTGTTCTTTCTTCATGCTCCTCTACATCCACTGACTCCTCCTTCAGCTCCTCCTCCTCAGAGTCAGCCAAGGAGCTCTGTCTGGATGTGGACTCAGCCAAAGACATGGCAATGGCCCTGCAGCATAAGGTGGTCAGCTCTGCAGCTGGCCTGCTGCTGTTTGTGAGTAGGAACTGGAGGCTCCGAGACTCCCTGGAGGTCCACATCCACGCAATCCACAGGGCCGAAGACCACATAGCAGGGTCACTGAGACAATTCCTGGATTTTGCCCAGGGAGTTCGTGGGATCACCTGCAACCTCAGTAACAGTCACCTTCAGGCCAGAATTCAGGATCAGCTACAGACAATCTCCAACTCCTACCAGAGCCTGCTGGAAGCAAAGGAATGCCTGGACAGCTGCAAGTGGTCTCTCGACGTTCTTTTGGTGGACAAAGTCCAAAACAGCATGGATGACCTTGAGAGGCTTGTCATGGTTGCACAGACGGTTCCTGAAGATGTCAAGAGGTTTGTCTCCATTGTCATCGCTAACGGGAGGCTCCTTTTTAAGCAGAACTGTGAAAAAGAAGATACAGTACAGTTGCCCCCAAATGCAGAATTCAAATGTGCGAAATGTGTCCAGCTTCCTCAAAGAGAAACGGAATCCTACCAAAAGAACACTCCTTCTAATAAACAGTGGGGAAATGAACACTCCCCTAAACTAGCAGAGAAAAACAGGACAGCTGTCTGTGAACAGGTGAGTTCAGAGTCCGAAGTGATGTGACAGGGTTCACTGTTAGCCAGCGTGGTCATCACTAAGAGAGATGCTGAGAACCTTCATCAGTAGTGTGTTGGCTCTGGGGAAACCCAGAGAAATTGGTTCCTTTTCCCAGTCAATCAATCAATCAATCATCAATCAATCATCTTTATGAAAGTAAACTCCTAGATAAAATCCTAATTAGTAAGTCAGATAATTATTTTAATATTAAGGCAGATGGAACACATGCAAATTTCGATTTCCTCGAGAAATATTTGGGGCTCAGGTTTACTACTGATGCTGGAATTAGCAAGGATTTAAAAAATCACCTAGAAATCCGTTCACTGAAGCCAGGGTAGGTGGCGCATGGCTGTAATTCTGGCATTCAAGGAGCTGCAGCAGGAGAATCTCAAGTTCAAGGCCAGTCTGAACAATAGAAATCCTGTCTCAAAAAAAGTAGATCCATTTGTTGAGTGGCTTTTAAAATCTTACTTCCAAGTTTCCTTGTATTTTTGAAAGTTGTAAACTTAGTCATCATCAGCATGTTTCCTAGAAACAGAAAAGGAACATGCACTTTCTTCCAGATTGCTCATGGCCTGACCAGTCCCCGGCCTGCAGTCATGCTTGGAAATACTTTGCTGGCTGTCTCTAGACCTTACAGAAACATACTTGAGTCCAGGGACTACCAGCTTCAAGGGCCTAGCAGGCAACTCAGGGACTGGGTCATGGAGACAGTTTGACACGTTCAGCCCTGGCCTTGGGGCCCTGCTAAAATACCTGGTGACATGAGGGCTCTGACACATCCTAAAAATATGAATGTTTTTAATTTTCATTATATATAGGTATAATTTGTTAAACTATACGCGTCGTTATAATAGGCCATGTTGGTAGGCGAAATTCAGCCCTTGGGCTGCCAAATTCAGCCCTTGGGCTGCCCGAGTCTCTTTTGGTTGAAAAAAAGATATCATTAGGCAGATCCATGGACAAAAATATCAGGAGAGATGCATAAGTTTTAAAGTGAACTTCAACAGTCATATCGTAATGTAAAAACCATTCAAGCCGGTAATTTATAGGGATTTTATTTTACAGATGTTACCTGGCCTAGAAGAGAAAGAAAAGTCCATCTTAGAACGAAAGTCAGATGAAAACAAAAACGTAGGACCAGTGGTAAGCCATCACACTCACTCTCCAACTTCCAGTTGAGGTGGTTTTTGTCCCTAGAGTTGTCTCCTCAGCTATGGAAAATTCACTATGACAGCATGACTCACACGGGGTGGCTTGTTATTTCCTTTTTAGCAGTAGAAGGAACTCTGGGGAGTCCAGTGTGCCCAGTGTGAACCTTTGACCACCAGGGAAAGGGTCTGGTTGCCCTGTAGGGTTACTGGGGGTGCTGCCACTGTGGCCCTACAGAGCTATCTCGTCCCCATGACATTTTCTGTTCATGCTTCTGGTTACAATGGCAACAACAAAGACATCTGGGTTTGGGGTTTGTGTATCTTCAACACCTCTTTGACACTTGACCTACTTTTTTAATTTTAATGAAAGATGTTATCGCTGTGCTTATTTTTACTGGTTGTCACCTCTATGTGGCAAAGGATAGTAGTCTTCTATTTATCCATTTTGAAAGTTTTCTCTAAATTAATTAAAGTAAATAACAAGCCCATTTAAAGACCAAGTGTGAACAGCAGATGTTAAGAGACAGGCAAGAAGGGGTATAGTTTGCAATGGTTGTGAAAGTTATCTTGGAGTTAGTGATGCTTGGCTAACAGTGAACCAGTTTGACAACCTGGACTTCGGGCCATGTGGGGTGGGAGAGCGAAGGACAGAGAGGTCCCATAACTCAGAGAGGGTCATGTGCCTTCTCCAAGGCAAGCTAAGGCAAGAACCCAGGCCTCCTGACCCCCAAACCCCAGACACTAAGCTTTGGGCTTTCCACACCGCTGGGTCATGCTGTTTACCTCTGTGGGAAGAAAAGCTTTAGACCTGTGGTTCTCAAACTTGACAGTGCATGGCAATCGCCTTACTAAAACTCCGAAGGCTGAGCCTCACTGCAAGTTTCTGGTACAGTGGGACTTGGCGAACCTAGGAATCTGCATCTTTGATCAGTTCTTGGGTGATGCTACTGCAGCTGGTACAGGGCCCCTACTGTAGCCAGCAGTGCGTCCGTGGTAGGAGACCGGGTGTCTTTGGCCCCGGAGACAGTTCCCTGTACCAGGGTGTGGTGTTTGGGGTCTCAAGCCTCCATCCACCAACTGCTCGGGGTCATAGCTCCACACATCCCCGGACCCAGGCTCAGGGTCACGGTGCAGTTTTCATCCACCTCTAGCTGGTATTTACAAGTTAAGATGCTGCCAATTAACCTCTGGCTCCTTGCATCTCCCTGCTTCTAACCTGCACCTCACTCTTCTTAGCCTCCAGACCCCCAAAGAGACATCATAACTGACACCCCAAACTGTTCTTCACTTTGTGCTAAAAACTAGTCACTGTTTTCATTTCCCAAATATGATTATTTTTTTGCAGTACTGAGGACTGAGGATCTCACATATGTTAGGCAAACACTCTACAACTTATAGCCCTGGCCCTTATTTATTTATTTATTCAGTTATTTATTTGGAGAAAGAGTCTTACTAAGTTGCCCAGATTGGACTTGGATTTGCAATCCTCCTGTATCAGCCTCCTGAGTGGCTGGGCTAAACATGAAATTCTAATAATGAGTAGACCTGTCCAGTGCATTAAGTCCTCTGTCCTTGTCCCCTCCAAACCCAGCAGCCACTGGGGACACAGCCCCTTTCTGAAAAACCACTCTGCATGTCCCCTCTGTGAGCGCTGTCACAGGTAATGAGAGTGTGGTTGGGAGAATGGGTTCAGGCTTAGCCCTTTAACTGTGAGCTCTGGACCTTTCATTTTTGCTAACTGAATGTCCCTGGCAGCCTCCGCCCTGCACTTCAGTTTCCTCACCTATGAAATGAAAAGAGAAGCTTCTTGTGGTGCTGCACACCTGTAATCCCAGCTTCAGGGAGGCTGAGGCAGGAGGATTGCAAGTTGGAGTCCAGCCTGGACAACTCAGTGTCACAGCAAGACCCTGTCTCAAAGTGTAAAGAGACAAAACATTAAAAATGGCTGGGGATGTAGCTCGGTGGTGGATGGGCCCTGGGTTCAAGCCCTCAGTCCTGCAAAAGTAAATAAGTAAAATAACAAAGGGGCTCAAGATTTTTACCTGGAGTGCTCACCACTGAGTTAGGTGCTAGATATTGGCTTTGCAGGGAGATGTTGATTCTATTTCCCAGAAAGTAAATTTCCTGAAAGTAAAATTTTGATGAAATCATATTAGCAAATAGGCATTTTCGTATTAAGGCAGATACCAGTAGGTCAGCCTATTTGATTTATTCTACAAGCTTCTGGAGTTCAGACGTACCTCTTCTACTGGAAGTAGAAAGAATTTTTAAGTGTTTTAGAATCTATTCTTTTTTTCTTTTTTCTTTCTTCTTCTTCTTCTTCTTTTTTTTTTTCCTTTGAGACAGGGTCTCGCTATGTAGCTCAGGCTGGCCTTGAACTCACTATGTAGCCCAGGCTGGCCTCAAACTTATGGCAATCCTCCTGCCTCAACCTTCTGAGTGCTAGGATTATAGGCATGGACCACCATGCCCAGTTTAAAATCAATTCTATGAGTAAATCTTTAAAATCTCGTCATCAAGTTTCTTTCCTTCCTTTCTTCCTTCCTTCCTTCCTAGGGCCTAGGGCTTTTGTATTGAGTCCAGCAATGGAAGGTGACTAAGACAGTGGTTCTCTTTGTGAGACTGTTAGTCAGCTTTCCAGTGCTGTGGAAAGTACTTGAGATAAACAACTTAAACGGAGGAAAAGGCTTATTCTGGCTCACGTCTAAGAGCTTGCAGTACATGGTCACTTTGTCCCACAGCTTAGGGCAGTAGAGGTGAACCTATGGCACACGTGTTATTTGTTTTTCTTTTAAGACAAAAGATGCTAATGCATAAGTTGTTTTCTCTAAACGAAAACCTCAGTATTCCTGTTTCACTGCAGTGTTGGTACTTTGCAATAAATGGGTGGGTTGGGGGTTGCAGTTTGGGCACTTGTCTCTAAAAGGGTCATCTTCCCTGGCTTAGGGCCTGTGGTGACTCTGTGTGTCGTGGTAGAGCAAAGCTTACTCACGGTGGCTGGGAAGCAGAGGGAGGAGGGGCTGGGTCTTGGTATTCCTTGCCAGGGCCCTGCTTTGGCCCCTGGGCCCCACTACTTCTGGTAATGCCATAGCTTGGGCACCGAGCTTTCAGCACAGTGGCCTTTGGCGGCATTTAAGATCCACACCATCCCAGGCCCTGAAGACCACACTCATTTTCCCAAGCTGCAGAGTCAGCATGTGAAGGGCTGGAGGTGCAGCTCAGAGGTAGTCTAGCACGTGTGGGGTCTGGGGTTTCATCTGCAGCATTGTGAAGAGCAAAATGAAACAGAGACAGCTGAGCAAGGTGCCGAGCCACTCAGATTCAAGTTTTGTGTTTTGGCCTCACAGCTGAGAGGTGCTGGTACTGCTCACCCTCCCCAACCCCTTCCTCCCTGGGCCCGGTTCTGTGCCAAGTGTCCAGGCAGGTCCTGTGCAGTAGTGGGGGTGTGGGAACGCTCACAACACAAGGAAATGTTGGCTAATAGAATATCTTTCCCCCTACTCCCTTCTTCCATTGGATGTCTAAATTCTTCTTTTTCTTTATTAGGAGGAAGTTTCATTTCACAGCACAATTAAACACAAACAACAGATGGGACCCTCCAAATCTTTCATTCCAAGCACTCTATTTCAGCTCACAGTGGTGCTCTGTCCCCACGTCCTTTCTGTGGAGGACACTGGGGACTTTCCTACTGCACACCCCTTTGTACACACTGTGCACAGTGTTCTAACACTCTTCATGTTGACAGCTTTGGACGATGTTTACATTTCCTTCTTTCGAAATGTCCTCTTTGCACTTCGCCAGTTGGACAGACCTGCCGTTTCTGCCTTCCTTAGTGGTTGTCCTAGCCTGAACAACAGCTGCTTTCTCCTGGAAATGATTCTATTCAGGGCCCTTTTTAGAATTCTTGAAGGCGTTTCCATTGACTCAGCCAGTTTCCACATCCTCTGCCAGTGGTATTCAGGGATCAACCTCAGATGTCCAGCAGCCACTCTGGTTTTGGATATGCCAAACAGTAAACCCAGGGTGGACATCATTCTTCCTGCTGCTCTGGTCTCTTTCCCACCACCTCTACTTTTCCAGCCTCATCAGCTATTTTTTTTGTTTTTTTGGTACTGGGGATCGAACTTGGGTCCTTGTGCTTGCAAAGCAGGTGGTGAAACCACTGAGCTAAATCCCCGGCCCCTAATCATCAGCTATTCTTGACTCAGTTCCCAGCCTTCTTAAACCTTACCCAGGTCTGGGAATTAGATTTGAAATACAACCTGCAAAACCATCTACAGAGGTTCTTGTTAAAGGATAACCTATGCAGAATTCAAATATAAATATCAAACCCTCAAAGCTTAGACACAAAACCCCACAGGATTCTTGGTGAAACCTAGCACTGAATGCAGCCCTGAGTCTTGGGCTCTGAGCCCCAGCACCTGGCCACATTCTTGGAGGGGTACAGAGTCCTGGACTCCACCTCTGCTTGGGCCCTGGAAGGACCATATGGACTACTAGGTCCCAACTTCCTCTGCAACAGGAAGGTGCTCAGGACCCAGGGCTCCAACTCAGATCCTCTACTTCCAAATACGACAACTTCAGTAGGCTCTGCTCATCTTTCCTAACCTCTGATGCAATGCTCAAATCTACTGCCCATCACAGGTACTCTGGGAGCACTAGGCTGGTGAAGCCTTCCCTGAAGGACTTGAGAATTCTCAGGTGGGGCTGGAAACCTGGACTTTAACAAAACTTTGAAATCTCCCCATTTGCTCACCTTTCCTTATCCTTCAGAGTGTTTCTTGCATCTGCTATGACCTTTTCCATATTTGCAGGCATGGAAGCCTCACATTATGCCAGGAAGGATTTCCTAAAGGGGAAGGTTATGACTGTCACCAGCAATGGATGGGCAGAGACTCCTATGGAACCAGCAGGGTTTGGAGCAAGGTGACCCTGAATCAACAGCAGGCCTGTTCTCTTCCTGCTAGGTCTTACTGTGGTCTTCCTGGGAGAACGCCATCTCTGCTGGGAAGCAGACACTGCTCAGGGGAAGCAGGGTGCTGGCAGGATGCTCAGCAGGGACATCTGCATGTGGAGTGAGGGCCCAAGGATGTGCTAAGTGTGGCGAGCAGCTCTAGCTGGTGAGTTCCCTGTGCTGGGGATGCAGCCACTGAACAAGGATGGTGGGCCTGGAGAGCTCAAAGGGGCCTTCAAGACCATAGTCTAGTGGTTTCCAAAAGCCGTTATGCAGGAGACACCCTGCCTGACACAGCAGAATCACCTGGAGGGTCCATCAAAAATCCAGGTGTCTGGAAAGACTTGTACTAGGATCAGCAGGGCAATGCCAAGAGTGTGGAGTCTGCTACTTAGCCAGGGTCCCCATGAACAAAGCAGCTAAAATTGAATGAAGAGCCAGGTGAGGAGTCTACCTGTCTTAGCCAAATAAACTGTTAATTTCTGCCACTAAGCCTCTGCAATACCTGTGTTTCAAAAGCTGTCAGTAGATGCAGATGCCTCTCTGATGGTTGGTAGGGACAGTTCTATCACTTCGCCTCCTGGCAATGCTTAGATCACAGCAGAGAGAGCTGATTCTGAAGGAAACAACTAGTGCCATGGTGAACAAACAGCTGTGTCAGGAATGCTACCAGAGCCCCCACTAAGGTAAATGAGGATTAAGACTTGAGGATTAAGAGATTAGGACTTGGAAAGATGTGGTTTGAGGGGACAGACTAAGTGCTCCATCAGGTTATCCACAGAAGCTGCTGGTCATGAGATGAAACTACAGCATTATCCCAGGAGAAAGCAGGCTTAAGCCAGGACAGACAAGGAGGGTGTGTGTCTCACGATGATAAGAGAGCCTTGCTCCAGTGGCCTTGGGAAAAGCTGCCTGTCATGTGGAGTCCTCACCTCCTCAGCCTGGTCTGCAGTCTCAGTCTCTGGTTGTAGCACTGGGTGTCCCAGTGACCTTGCTGTGCTGCTCACTTTTCAGGTGTCAGACTCAGCCTCAGCATTCACTTTGAGTCATCTGTTTTTCTTGTTAGAGTCATAGTCAGACAATAGGAATCTTATGCACCCTGTGGGTGGGTCAGGAACTCAGAAGCAATGACAGGGCCAGGATCTGATGAGAGGGGGCCCACAGTATTCCTCTGAGCTTTCTGTCTGTAATCATCTCCATTTCTACCAAAGATAATCACAGTAGGACCAGCTTGGCTCCAAAACTCCTGATTGTTTACAGAAGTACACCAGAAGAATCACAGACTGAAAATTTGTTTTGGTGGAAAATTTGAGAAGAAATCTCAGAGTAGCTTTTCACAAGCCTCAAGGGTGGAAGCCAAACTAGGGAGTCAGCATTGCACACAAATGCTCACAGATGACGTTCCAGGCAAAGCCAGTGTCTCCAGTTGTGTCTCACTATGAAAAGAACAGATTCTTATTGACTTAAATGTGCTCAGGAAGAGTTTCTAAATTGGGGAAATATAGGGAGAAAAAGTAAATGTAAATGTTTCAATTTTGTTTAAAAAGCATATTTTATCAATAAAACATAAAAAGAATCAGCACTGTTTTAACTAAAAAGCGATTAAAATCATGATTTCACTTCATCATTTCATGCAGTTTCATGTAATTGAGTCCTGTTTTTCACAAACTTGGTAGGTGACCTTCACTCCGCCCTCAGCTACTGGGAGCTGTACTGGCTGGAGTTCTCCCTTCCATCCGAGCCTCCTGGAAGACACTGCCGCTGCTCAAACTACTCTCCTGGGAGACACCAGGGTCAAGCAGCTTTACAGTGGGTGGCAAGATCTAAAATAGCCCTGGTTAAAGATCTGATGAGAATTGTGATCTCTGCAAATATCATAATTTTAACTTAAGAATGGGAATTATGCCCAACAACAGTATTCTGAGTCACAACGGATCTTAGAAATTTCATACAGTTTTTTGGAATGTATATTAACAATATATTCATATAAATATAACTCAAAGGTTATGCACCATTTCTTATTTGTTAATACTTTTCATATAGTTTTTTTTGGGTTTTTTGGTACCAGGTATTGAACTCAGGACCTTGCGCCTGTGAGGCAGATGCAGTGCCGCTAAGCCACATCCCAAACCCTTTCCATATAGTTCAATAAATGAAAATAAATCTAAAATGTCTCTTGGACTTCCAAGGACTGGCTCTCTGGAAACCCCAAGGTTAGCTCAGGATAAAAATGTTTTATTTATTTATTTACTCCTTCATTTATATTGAGACAGGGTCTCACTACGTAGTTCAGGCTGTCCTCAAACTCACTATGTAGCCCAGGCTTACTAGGTAGCCCAGGCTGGCCTCAAATTCACATTAATTCTCCTGACTCAGTCTCCTGAGTGCTGGGATTACAGACTATGCTTGGCTAAGATTTAATTTTAGAATTTGATTTTGGGAGGCTTTTAAAAATATCGAATAACAATTAAAAATAAGATCTCAGGTCATTACTCCAAAATGACAAAAGATTTCCCAGGCATGAAGGACAGAAATTATCACAGAGTCTTTGTTTTCCAGGCCAGCTGTTGACAAGGGAAAGCCAAGCCTCTGAGAGTCCCCAGGGAGGGCCGATCAGCCTCCCAGGAAACTGCCTGCCCATGCAGGGTGCAGTTCGGGTGACCCCAGGACACCTTCAGTATTAGTGCTCAATTAAAAATACAACTAAAGGGCTGAAGATTTAGCCTTGCAAACGCCAAGGTCCTGAGTTTGATCCCCAGTACCGCAAAAAAAACAAAAACAAAAACAAAAACAAAAAAAACTAAGAAGTAAAAGCACTTCTAATTTTAGTTAACTTGATCCCACATACAAATTTTCTTGCGAAATTCATCCTCCACAAAACCACTTTCTTAGTCAACAAAAACATGTCTTAGTCAACAGCCTCCTTCAAAGAGCCTCCTCTCCCAGTGTTCTTTCTAGTTTTAATCCCTGTATGGGTGAGAATAGGAATCCTTGGTAATTATGCACCAGTATTCTGTACACTAACACCGTTTCCTTGTTTCTAGACATGTTTTTCATGCTCATCAACAGGCCCCAATATGTTGATTCTTTATTCCACATAAAAACATGACACTGAAATTATTTAAACTTTAACCTCATGCTTAATAATTGTTTCAGCAATCCAACTTATTTAGAAATGACCCAGGTTACCTAATGAATACCTACTCCTTACTTTACAGAACACGTCCTTAAGACTTTTTGTTACCAAAAAAGATTTTTGAACCTATTGAGTTCTTTTATAAATATTTATTCCTTTTGCATTCGCCTAATTTACTCGTTTTTATGTCTGAACTGCTGATGGAAATTTTAGTTGAACAGGATGTGAGCTAGAAATGTGGAATCAGAGTTCATCCAAAAAGACTTGAATTTTTAGACCCAATAAGGACACTAAGAGAGAAGGCAAAACAGCTACAACCAACCAACCAACCAACCAACCAACCAACCAACCAATTTACCAAGAGGAATAACAAAAACAGAGGGCCAAACAGCTCTAAAACAGGAAGAGGTGAGGCACTGGGGAGACAGACACTCAGCTGATAGTCATGTGTTAATGTTACAGGCCAACATTTTTTTTTTTTTTTTGAGACAGGATCATGCTATGTGGTTTAGGCTGGCCTTGAACTCAAGGTAATCCTTGTGCCTCGGTCTCTTGAATGCTGGGATTATAGGAATGTGCCACTTCACTCAGCTATTCCCAAATATTTTGACACCAGTAAGAATGTTACAGAAAAGATAAAGTAAAGGAGCTTTAGGAAATTAGGAGAAAATGTTGTGGTTATTTCCATGGAAACAGAATGTGCAATGTGCTTATCTTTAAATTTTCTTGTGCTAGCCAGGAGGAACTATGGGTAAAGAGTAAAACATATATGGTTACTTAGAGCTCAGTTTATCAATGGTTCAAGAAGAAGGGTCTTGTTGGAAAAAGGCAAACCAAAGGCAGATGCCCCTGCTTGGAATATAGGACTGTGCACACCCCCTGGAGAGACCCCATCTCCTCCCTGGGGAGCTGACTCTCATCTAAGAGCTCTGACAATCACCCCACCTTTCTGTCTGAGTGCTGTCTCTGGCCCACTTATGTGCAGAGCACAGCTAGTTAGGGATCCCCAGGGGCACCCCCAGCATGGGAATGGACACTTGTGTTCAGTGGGAAATGTCTTCCACAACTGGAAAAGATACAGGAGCTTTTAGTGAATTAGGAAAAAATGGAAAACATTAGAAAAAATTAGGAAAACAGGAAAGGGAGCCATGGCTCTTGCAGGGTGCAAAGCTACTTCAGGTGGTACTCACTGGAGAAGCAAGGTGCAGTCTGCCCGTGCCGAGAGCTCTGGGCTCCCTTCCAGAGCCTGGCCTACCTAGACCCTGGCCCACCTGAGGGTTAGCCCACCTGGAGCCCGGTACCCCAGCAGGCTCTGAAGTTAGAATCAGGCAACCTGGCCTTTTCAGTGCTGATAACAAGCAAGAACAAAAGATTTACTTAGTACCTAAATGGGAAGCTGTGTGTATGCATTGTATTTCACTATTTGTCATACAGGGTGATTTATTAGTGAGAAATAGCCCCAATATATTATCTTTCCCCAGGAAGCAGCTAGTTCAGAAATCCCCTCCCCACTCCCACCCCAACAAGCATGAAAAGAGGGGACAGAGATATAAACAATGGAAACTTGAATTCTTATCCCCAGCTTTGACAGGCTTAGTGACCCCTCACCACCATGAGTCAGCTACCGAGGTCCCGTGGCTGGGCACCCACCCTTCTGACCTTAGCCCTTCCCTGCCTCCTAGGTTCCTCTAAGATGGGGTCCCCCAGGGGGCTGGAGGAGAGACAGCTTCCCAATAAAACGGGCCTGACACAGCTGAGAGCAGGTCTCACAGAGGCGTAATCACCTCCTGGGCTCTGCAGTCAGTGCAGGCCCCCGGGCATACTCCAGGTTCACCTGAGCCTGTCCTGTTTAATTTCAGGGACAGTGAAGTGCAGTTTACCAACTTGGAAGGTAGAGCCTCTCTCCCATTTTTATTCATGTGGATAACAGTTGGGCCATGTGCCCACTCTCTTCTATCAATAGGACCCCATGTGGTGATCCGGCTCAGGACCATCCACAGGGAGGCCATTGTCCAGCCTGGCCGTGGTGTGGCCAAGTGGGGATGCCTGGGTAGAGATGTGAGGGGGCAGGTCTTCAGGGCCCTGGGCCTGCTCTGGTCGGGAAGAGAATCAGCTGCCTCCTCAGCGTTGTAACAGCACAGCTGATGGCCAAGAAGGCACCTGAAGCATTCTGTTCTAAGAGAGCCTTTGGGGAATCAGGCAGGAGCAGGAATGTTCTGGAAAACATGCTTTCAGAGCAGGGAAGGAACTCAGCTGTGTTGGAGCAGGGGCCCTGGTGCTGGGCTGGGCTGCCCAGGGCTGTGTTGCATGGTGGCCCAGTCCTGGTGTGGAGGTGGGTGACATGGACAGCACCATCCGTGGGTTATGTGGCCCCATTAGGTGAAGGCCTGGGGAGCACACAGATTCCCAGGAAAAGAAGAAACTGCTTTGGACCCTAGTACACAAATCCTGCTGGCTTCTCAAACCGCATCCACTAGACCTCCCTATCTTGTGAACTGATTCACAAGATCTCAAACTCCCCTTTCCCAGGGTGGTCACAGAACCTCTGGTCTTCCCCATCTGTCTCAGTGCTGGCCATAAGCAGACTCTGACCAACACTGTGAGAGCAGATTGTTAAGACCTGGTCTCCAGGGCTTGGCAGCACCCTGGAGGGAGGTCTGTGGCTCAGAGGCCAAAAGGAACTGAGCAGACAACAGGCCTTGCTGGGCTCTGGCCCCGTCTGTCACGCTGACTCAGACCCTTTGGTCCAATGGCATTTAAACATGGCCGGCCATGCTTCAACCAAGCTTAGGCAACCAGTCTCCAAAAACCTGAAGGCAGAACATTCAGGGAACACAGATGGACCTGAAAGGAGGTGGCCCTGGGGTGCACAGAAGCTGTGCCCTCCATGACTCCCCTGTGCCTCTTCTCTGTGTCCTGGTACAGACATGCTTGTTTCCTGCACATCACAGATAGATTTTACAAATCAAAGGTCTGAAGCAATCCTGTGCTGACAAAGTCTATGTGTGACACTCTGCCGCCAGCACATGCTTACTTCCTGTTTCTGTCTTATTTTGGTAATTCTCATAATATTTCTAACATTTTTAATAGTCCCAATGACCTATGATCAGGGGTCTTCGATATTGTCACTGTCACTGTTTTGGCAGGCCACGAGCATGCCCATCACAGATGAAGGTTTCTGTGCTGGTGCCTCTACTGGGTCCCCATCTGCTCTACATCTCACTGAGACCCAGGGATCCCAAACCAAGTGCACCTGGCTCCCACCTGCTCACAACCCTTCCCCTACATCCCAAGACCACACCACCTAGGAACTGTTGCAGATTTTTATTGAGCAAGGCAGGGGCGGCTATAGGTGCCACATACTGGTGTGGTTAAGATCAAGGAATGGGCAAGGACCCAAGTTCAATTCCTGGTACAAAAAAAAAAAATCAAGGAATGGAAGAGGGGAGAGCACATGGGTGTCCACACTGCCCTGAGGAGCCTACTGTCCTGGTCCCCAGGTGCTAGGACACAGGAGACTGTGTCAGGGCCAGGCTCCATTTTGGGAAGGGGATGCCAAAGGAGATGCAAGTAAGGGGTGGTCAGCATGGCGTGACCTGGCAGAGCCTAGGCATCGCGACAGCTGGACTTGGTGAGGGAGATTCTGTTTTCCCAGGGCACGGTGTAGATCTGGAAAGAGCAGATGGCATTCTGCAAAAGGAAGAGGGAAGGACAATCAGTGGGGCTGCAGGAGAAAGGGAAGATGCTTGGCCATATGATAGAGAGGGGTGGAGGGGAAGTCCCTGTATGGTGCTGCCTCTCTAGTTTCCAGGGATCCCATGTCCTTGTCCCCTCATTGTCCCCCAGGAAGCAGCCATGCAGGGCCAGGAGCCCAGAGGACACAGGGCAGGGAATGCGCTCACTGCCCCAGCTCCTCTACCTCAGCCCAGGGCAGCACTGAGAGGGCACCCAAAGGAGAACCAGGCCTGGGGACCCTGAGACAGGCAGAGTGGACAGGGTGACAGGGACTCAGCACAGAGCTGTGTCCTCCAGGGACCCACCTGTCAGGAGAGGCTGGAGGCTCAGGACAGCAAGAGTTCTCAGCCCTCTCAGGCCTGACCTGCTCAGTGGGGTTCTAGGTGGGGCTGAGCGTGGGACTCAGCAGACTCTGCTGCTGCCCCCTCCAGCCCAAAGACAGGGTGTCACCTCCCAGCACCCTACTTCCTAGGGTACCACTCAGCACCCAAATCAATCCTCTGTGCAAACCCTCCACTACCCCACGGGCACGTACATACAGTCACATGCACCCCATACCTGAGGGTATCTACTCAACCACCATACTCCACACACACCTCCCCAAATGACCCACAAGTGTGCACATTCAACTTCTCACACAACACACACCTATGCGCATCCTCCTCCACACATGACACACACATGCACATTCACTTCCCACACCACTCATGCACATTCAGATTCCCACACATCCAGACTTGTGAGCATTCACCTCCCCACACTACCTATGAGTTTGCACATGTCTATTTCCCCATAGGACCCACATGTGTGCACATTCACCACCACACATGAGCAAGAGTGAGCACATTCACCTCCCTATGCAACCCGCATGTGTGCATTCATTTTCCACACAACCCATGTATGTGCACACATTCCCCTATACATGACAACATGTACGTCTTCACACATACCTGCACACAAGTATTGCACCCCTAGAGGTACACACATATGCACATGCACACACACACAGACTCACACAGCCCCGCTTCAGGACCCACTGCAGGAACATACCCTCTTCAAGTGTGGCTCTTCATGGAAGGGACAGTCAGTCAAGTTGGGCTGGGACTTGGTGCATGTGGTTCTGCCAATCTCCACGTCCAGGAAGTAGTTCACACCAGCCACCAGCTAGAGTGGAAAGAGCAGGATTCACTCACAGCTCATGCAGTTTGCACACCCAGAGCTACTGTTTCATTTAACAAGTCAGTGTGTTTGCCCAGGGCTCAGGCCTGCATTCATGAGCTGCCAAAATCATCACCCATGAAGCTTGAGCCAAGTCTTTGCTGAAGAATGCCTGCAGGGCCTGCTTACAGCTTGTTTCCTCCTGAGCAACTGAAACTAAGCATCTCTTGCAGCCAGTAGAGGAAATAGGAAGAGAGCACGCAGAAACTGGGACTGGACTCCCTTATCTGCACTCTGTGAGGGAGGCTAATCTAGGGAGCGCTTCCTGTCCAGAAGGCAGGGCGGGTCCAGTCCCAGCTCTGTGCTCACACGGGTCATACTGGATGCTGTTCTAGGAGAGCTGTGACCCGAGGAACAAACACAGCTGATCGCTCAGACTGTGTCCTCCAGCCACCCAACTCCTCTTCCCTGGCTCAGCAGCAAGGGGCAACCTGCTGCCCACCCTGCATTGCCCCACCTCAGGGCCTTTTTGGGGAAGTGTTCCCAGGTTGTTGCTTCCCTGGCCATCTCAGTTTGCAATGGAGAACAGAATCCCTGCCATCCCTGCCCAGGGCAGCCCAGAGAGGACTCATTATCACAAGGAGAGGCAGAGGCCAGGGACTCAGGACAGAGCTCTGGACCATGCCCTGTGCAGCTAGGGTGAGGCCCAAGGTCCCGCCAAGACTGACTTCCCCACCTGTGAGCTGAGGTCAGGGGCCCTGTGATCTATAAGGCCCTTGCTTCACCCCAAGGTTGTGTCACCCTGGAGCGGTGATGGCAGCACGGACCGTGGCAGCAGGAAGTGCAGGTCGTGCCCACGGAGGAGGCCAGCTGGGTGCTATGGGAGGAGACAGGGCCACTCCCCACTTACCTGGATGTTCATAGAGGGGCAACTGAGCTCCACACACTGCTGTGCACACAGCACTTTTGTGGTGCTGTCCCTATGTTCCACTCTGCAGGGGGCACAGGCCACCAGGTCTAACCCTGGCCTCCTTCAGGACAGGCCTTGTCCAGCAGCCTCCACTGCCCAGGGCAACTCCAGTGGGGACAGAGGTGGGGTCCAGGGCAGCCTCTCTACCCTGAGCTCTTGAGAGCCCACGGCTCCTGCCACTAAGCCCATCTCAGTCTAGGGCCCCTGCACCTGGAGGACATCTCTGGGAACTCAGAACTCTCAGGGAGCCCCCACCCTGCTGCACAGTCTTCTGGGGACACAGGCAAGGCCTGGCTGAGGATCTGGGAGGAGGACCTGCTGCTCATCGTGTGCACTCTCGAGGACACATCTGTCAACCAGGCTCAGCAGACGTCTGTACAGTTACCCACCTAGTGATGTGGACACATCTGAGCAGTGGGTCCTTAGGGTTCACCATGTGATGTCATACAGAACACTCACAACGAGAGCTGGCATCAACGTCACAGCCGTGTCATCTTAGGGACACCCTTGCACCCCCATCCGTCCTTCCCTAGAACCCCCTGCTGCTTATGACTGTTCCCCCAGCTGGCCCAACCCCGACAGGCCAAAGTCCTGAGCACAGAGGTGCTGCTCCAGGGGATGGGCTGCAGGGCCCAGGAGTGTCCTCAGTAGGCATCGGCCACACCACGTGAGGCTCTGTGGGCGAATGAGCATGAGTGTGGCTTCCTGAGGTCAGCCTGGTCCTGGGTGTGCAGAGAAGGTCCTGGTGGGCAAGCTGGGTACACTGCATGGTGCATCCCACAGGATCAGGAGAATCCACACATCCACACACAGCTCCACGCACTACGGGGAGCCAGGAGCAGGGCCCATGTGGCCAAGAGTGACTACGGGAGGGATGGGGCAGGGCCCAGGATGCCCTCTGCTCTTGCCTGGTCTGCTCTGCAGATCTGAGATGGTGTCAGAGCTGGGAGCTAATGGACAGGTACATGGAAGTCGTGGGAGGAGAGAACAGGCCCGGAGTCCCCGTCCCTGCTGTGGTCACTTGGCTCAGTTTATAGGGGCTCTGGCCTGGGAGATGGCTTTCCGGTCTCAGCCGGGGGACCCCGACCCTAGCCTGGTGGCTCTGCCAGCTGGGTCTGGAATCAGGTCTAAGGGTCAGGTGTTACCTGCAGTGATCCCTAGGGTTCAAGACAGGCTGCATAGGAGAGGATCTGCAACAGTAGGGAGGGCAGGGGAGGAGAGATCGAGGATCCCTGGCTGCCCTGGCTCGCGCCAGTCCCGAATCTCCGTCTAGCAGGCCAGCAGGCCCGGCGGGCGGGGCAGGAGGGCGAGGCAGGCAGGCTGCCACACACACGTACCTGCTTGCGGGCGCGCAGCACCTGGCGCGCGCGGCTGTGGAAGCGGTCATTGCTCGCCTTGTTGTATTCGCTGAGCGCAAAGTCGACCGCGCGCCGCACTCCCGCATCGAGCGCGTCCGCCTCCTCCAAGCCGCCCAGCAGACGCGGAGGCTTCCCGGGCTCCGCGGCCAGCGACAGCGACAGGACAGCGACCAGGGTGGCGGCCAGAAGCAGGGCGGGGCGCGCCATAGCTGCAATCAGGACCAGGAGCTGCGGACCCAAGCGGAACCGAGAGCAGCTGCACCTTTATCCGGACGCGCTCCGCCCCTTCCGGACGCGCCTCCGCCCTCCACCCCGCCCACCAGCTCCTCCCCTGCTCCTCCCCCGTTCCTCCCCTGCTCCTCCCCTGCTCCTCCTCCTGAACGCTGTTTCTGCGGAAAAGGGGGAAAGAGCAGTCTTGGCTTCAAGAGGACCTCCGAGGTTAGGGAATCCCCAGAGCACAGGTTCCAGGAAGACCTAGGCCTTGCCTGTCCTGGGGAACTTCTCTGCCAAGCAGAAGGGAGTTCCCCTTTACTTGGGAAAGGGAAAGGGGTTCTTTTTAAGGACTCATGATCAGTCAATCAGCAGATCTTCCAAGAACTACTCCCAGCCAGGTGGTCAGGCCAGAGACGGGGCACAGGTGCCTGAGCATGGAGGGGACACCTGGAAGTGCCCTAGCAGAGTTGTGACACCGACTATGTGTGGCTTTAAGTTCCAGTAGACATATTAGGAAGGTATAAAGAAACAGGTGAGATCACTTTAATAAAATTATTTTTTTGTATTAAATTCTTTTATTGGTACATTGTAGGTATACAACACAATTACATTTCTCATTGGGAATTGTACCTTTACATAA